CTCCTAAATATAGGTCGTCATTCGTACATTCTTTTTTCAGTTTACCTACCTAGGGTCCCGGTAGCTGGTCCGCCAAGAAAAAGTCTGTATTTGCTGGTTTCGTCAGCAACAGAGAACTGGTTGTATAATTCATAGAGCCTTGTCCCATTAGTCAGTGTGATACATACGTAGAGGGAGGTGTTACTTCTCTTAGTAAGTTGATGTATAACGTCATTTCCTTAAATATTTTATCGTCGTATAATATATAAAGAATTAATAAAGCAAAACATATTTATTTCAAGTTGTCATATAATTCAACATATGATTATGAAGGTATGCAGAAATTTCTAATTGTGTAGTGCATGCAGCAATGAACATACATGTTTTGAAATCAAAGTAGGGAAATCGTTATATATTGTATTTTACATAAATTGTTATAAATTGTTATAAACTTCATTTTAAATGCTAAAAAATTAAATGCTAATTTAAACTGTTAATAATCAGAAGAATTATCATCCCCTAAAACAACATTAAATATTACAGAGTTATAAAATGGGTACAATGTACAATGGGTACAATGGGTACAACCAAATTAATGGTTTCCCGAGGGAGGGGAATATTTCTACATCTGGAAAATTAACCCTTGGGGAGCCATAAATTTGCTTTGTCCTCTGTAGTCATTCTATAACTGTTTATAGTTTACCAATCCAGTAGGAGTCGTTAGGATTCCCGAATCCCGTTTTGTAGTCCGTCCAGTTTCTGTCGAATGACACTACACCACTGACACGTTTCTGTATAGCCTAAGAATTTATGAATTATGTCGGGTTTATTAAAAAAAAGTAGTGAAGAGTGGTTTTTATGCTATGTTTTACTGTGAACAATGTTTCAAATAGGGTATTCATTAAACAATCACTCAAAACCTATTTTTTTTTCTTTTAATATAATCAATTTTTACGTAATGATACAGTACAGGCAACGCGGGTCCCGTATTTCCCGCGTCCCCGCCGCGGTATAATCACAACGCGGTATTTGGCCAGGTAGACAGGTAAACCGCGTTCCCTCCGCGGGAAATTCATCACTTACCTGTCCCCGCCGCGGTTAAATCATCGATCAATTACTGACAATTAGTATCGTAAACAAACGGGAGTTATCTCCCCGAATTGAAATATGCGAATTTTCCCTGCAAAAAAAAAAACAAAAACAAAAAAAAAACAAAACAAACAAACAAACAAAAAACGTGTGTTTATTAATAAATTTTGCTATGATAGAATTTAAACTAAGAAAAAATAAGTTTATTTTTGTTTCTAAAATTACATATCAATCTTTGAAATTGAATAGAAAAATTCATTTAATTGTTACGTCTTTGCAATTGGTTATTTTTTTTTATGTTATTAAGAATCTATCAAGAAACAAAATTAAATACTAGAAATTTTAATTATAAGTTTTTTTTTAATCTTCATATTATACATGTTATATGGAAACTGTAATAAATGTTGAACTCGGACTGTTTAAGTTTTGATGAACGATTTTCAGCATTCATTTGAAAAAAAAAAAGATGTACATCTTTTAAAAAATGTGCATCTTCATATTGTTTATTAATTAATTTCGATTTATTGTATATAAAATGTACAGGTTTTTTCTTAAAGTGTCAAATTACCGGAAAACATCTGATGACGAGCATTTGCAGTTACATGTAGTGGGCACGTGAACTTAAATTTTCTTTATCCAAGATATCAAGAAAAAGTTCTATTCTTCTTTATTTCTCATCGTTTATGTTCTGTTCCCAAATTAAGTTAATTTAATTAATTAATTTTGTTTAATGTATTTCCCTCTTTTATATAAATATGCAGGCATTTTTCTCAAATTGTCAAATGACCGGAAAGCATTCGATGACGAGATTCGATGACGAGAGTTAACTTTGTTTTACCTTTTAATACAATGTCTTTCTTTTTAATTTTAATATTTCTCGATTTTCGTGTTCAATAGATAAGATAGGATGTGCAGGTGTAATGATAAACTTCACAGATGAAATTATAGTTTATATTAATAAATATTCAATGCAAAAATTCATATATTTTGTTTTCTTTGACAAATTCTGTTTCTTTGTGTATTAAGTATTAGCCGCGATCATTTCCTGTGTATAGGGATTAGCAGTGCCTGAGCAGGAAACGACATGCCCTGGGGGTTTCACACCTGTCTTATAGTATACCTTGGGTAACGCTCACTGGATACACATCGTTACAACACATTTGATTCATTGTTTCATTATTATTTCATCGATATCATTTTCAGATGCGATATTGGCCTTGGAATTTGTGACAAATTATTGTTGCTTTTTTAAAACGGAGTGTATAAAAAGAATAAAATTAAAAAAAAAAACTTTAAAAACAAATTAATGAAGTATTTGATATTAATTAAATCAAATAATGATCCATTACAGTAACTATGTTATTTCGTGTCTGTTTATATCTGTACCAGTTAAAAGATTGAAAGAGACAGATTTTGATGGTAAAATAAAATGTTATTTTTGTTTGTAAAATTTGATTTAAGAAAAACTTTCTTCTTTTGTTTAGCATATATATGTACATGACATTAAAATTACTTCCCTTTTTGTCGCCAATTACAACGACAGATTTTGAAAATATTTATAAAATTTGATTAACACAGTAAAAACATTTCGAGTTATTGAAAATATTTTTTTGAAACAAAAAATTTAAAAAGGATTCTGATTGCAACAAAAACATTCTTTATTTCATGCATTTCAATTCATGAGCTACACATGAAAAAAAAAACGGCTTCGTTTTACAATGTCGTAGGAAAACGCATACAGGTAATACACTCAGGTAACATCCTGTGTATATACGTAGTATGTACACTAGACAGCGTCGTTCCCTCGGGGCTTCTCATCCGCTTCGAGTAAGCTCCACTCCACACCAAACTTACCTGAGGAAACCAAACGGTTACACAGACATCTGAAAACTTGAAGCATGGCAACCTGCTGATTAAAATAAGTTAATTTCTGTGTTGTGTGTTCAAATATTTTAAGGGCCCATATTTGTGTTTGTGTTTTATTTGAACCGGAGAAATCTGAAATTTGTTTATGTTCATAAACATGATTTTAGTAATTTTCGAGAAAGAGCAGAAAATAGTAATACATTCAAATACTGGCTATGATATTATTGATATTCTGAATAGAAATACCTGTGATTATTTAATTAACAAGACCCCCCCCCCACACACACAAAAAAATCGTCGATATTTAGTTCATAGTCTTACAGAGTAGCGCATAATAATGGAGCAACGGTATTCCTACACTTAGGCGTGTTTTGTTAAAATTTAATTGTAATTATGTATCACTATTTATAATCATTTTTCATGCTATTATTTATAACAGACATGAGTACAGAAGTAACGGTAGTTTTCTAAATGAAACCAAATGACTGATAGAATCTCGCAGATAAATAAACATATAGCTACATGTAACTGCAACTGCACGGGCTAATTGTGAACAACGGATTACGCCAGTGCATAACATAAAGAGAAGCGATATCACGGCATTCTTTAAATTTTAATTATACCTTTTTACCAATTTGAAGATCATTTGGGGTGGCATTATTGATTTTGAAAATAAACGCTAAGTTAATATATTCGATAAATTATTCGACTTTATTTCATCCTATACTGTACATGTATTACTGTTCACAGACGTTTTGAGAATTAATTAATTTTGAATGACCATTGGTAAAAAAAAAAAAGAAAGATGTTTTTTATTAAACAATTTGATAAAACTTAAAAATGAATATTTAAAGAATCCATGTAATGGTATAAATCTATTAATATTAATACGTGATCGTAACCCCCCCCCCCGGATCTACTTCCAAAAACACGATTAAAAATCGACAATGCTTTCCTCAGGTAAGAACATCTAAGCTGCAGACGGTAGCGGGCCCCGCGGCGGTGTAAACACGGGCTCCAGCAGGTACCGCCATCAAAACCCGCGACGGTGTAACGCGGAAAGGATTAATACACCGCGGAGGGGACGCGGGTCAGTACGGATCCGCGTTGCCTGTACTGTATTTTTTAACAAAAAAGCTTCATACAAAAATCTTATTTAAAAAATAATGTTATTTTAAATTTATTTTTATTATTATTATTATTATTATTATTATTATTATTATCTTCATGTAAATTAGATTAGAAAAAAATTACTCAATGTTCATTCATCGCCATTTTTTGTTGATTTCAGCAAAGAGATTTAATATCAGTTTTTAAATAAAAAATTTATAATTCCTTAAAGAAATATCAGCTTAAATTGATCGTTGGGCATAAAACAGAAAGAGAAAAGGGGAGATGGGGAGAGGAAATTAAAAAGAGGGGGAGAGAGAGGCGGAGAGAGGGGAATGAGAGAAAGATAAAGAAAATAGAGAAGAGAGAAATTAGGAGAGAGAAAGTGGGAACGGAGGGAGGTGGAGAGAGAAAGAATGAGAGAGGAATCTTATTGTTCACTCTCCACGTACAATACAAGAAATAAAAGCTAATATTGATCGTTGAGAGAGAGAGAGAGAAAGAGAGATCTTACTGTCCGCCCTCCACCTTCTGTCACAGAGAAAGGGGCAGAGAAACTGATAAAGAGAGAGTAAAACAGAGAGAGAGAGAGAGAGAGAGAGAGAGAAGGATAAAGATATCTTACTGTCCACCCTCCACCTTCTGTCACCATGTCACAGAAGACGCTGACCTTGTTTTCAATACCAAATGGATAGATCTCATACACACCAGATTCTGTATTAATATTATTATAGAGGTCCTTGCAATCTTTATATAGGTTTAACTCTGAAAGAAATAACCCATAAATACATGATATGATACTAATCGTAATATAAATATTAATATAAAATAGTTATCTGAAGAGAGATAATTACCAGACTTGATGGTTTGCAGTATACTTTTCTTCAAATCTTCGTGGATGTCGGTTTCATTTTTCATCAGGATATTAAACATCTCGTAAAATTCTTCTTGAATGTTTCTTAATTAACCTTAATTCTCGCATTCTCTCGTTTTAAGGACTCGATTTGTCTCGCATTTTCTCGTCTTAAAGACTCCATTTGTCTCGCGTTCTCCTGTGAGTAAGTACTCAATCTTTTCAATCAATATTTTAATCTTCTGATCATTACGGTCGCAGTCATGTTTTTCATTAAGATAAATTTGCTGACAACTAGCCGTACAAAAGAACAAAACGTACATGAAGATACCCAACAAAACTCCTGCCATGGTTTTACTTGCACGCTGTCTGAAAATAAGCTTCCCTAAAATAATCCGTAGTTTATATACCCTTAAAACGGGAAGTTAAAAATTTTCCTAAATATTTCGCTACCGCAACACTTAGACGTTCAGCAGCGAATTTCATTCGACAGTCAAGAAAAAATAAAATATTCAGGATGCTTGGGTCATAGGTCAAATTCAGAGTAATGCTGGTACATGTAATGGATGACATTTAAAAAACTTTTTTTTTTGTAGATACCAATTTTAAAAACTAAAAATGGATATATTGTTTTTGAATACTATATTTTAAATTATAAATATAAATAAATAAGTCAATACTTATTGAGTCTTTTGTGTTTCTTTATATTCACTTCTTTAATGTATTGAGGGTACAGTTACCACACAATTACCACACATGTAGAATTTTTAATACTTATTTAAGATTATTTATAGTTCTAAAGAATGTTTTAAAGTTTTTTTTTTTCAATTTTCAAAAAGAATTCGAATATGAGGTAAACAATTATTCAAAAGGTACCAATGCCACAGTTTTATAGAATGACCTCAAAATATAAAGTTCCTCTATAACGAATGAAATGTATGGAGATAAAGAACAATATTCCAGCTCAAAGGTCCATTAAACATTATTAAAAAAGGATCAGAGCAAACAGGACTCCGAAGCATCAGAATGGAATCAGGTGCCATGGAGGAGTGAGGAATGACCGGTCTCACCCACCGTGTAATTCTTGACAATCGACAATCTTATCAGAAGTATCTTACCTGTTCAGCCACAAAACCAGTCTCTTTTCCCTTAATATTTTTTTGAAACTGCAATTTTATTGAGCTGATCTTCCTAGAACTGACAGTGACAAAACCATTGTTAAAAAAGTTAAAGAATGACACTTTTTATACTCGTAGCAGAGGAAAATGTACATATTATTTAACATACCCCCGTCCTTTTTAGGAACAAATTTATCTTTTATGCGCTTAAATTAATTTTCAATAGGTATTGTATCCGAATAATTAGTCTCATTAATTTTTATATATTTTGGAGTTTTAAATTCTCAAAACTATATTTGAATTGGCATTCGTCATGTTTAGTTTTGAAAAGGACGGATACATGCTTCTATAAATATTTTCAAAGGTACGTATTTTTATTCACATTTTTAAAAAAGCATATTGTACTGTGTTTGATAACACCATCGAAGATTTGATTTTAATAAAAGCATAATAAGCCAAACGTAACTGCATTTTTTATTTTTAAAAAAAAATAGAAAGTGGAGAAAAGAAACGTAACAAGAAAAGTGTTGGTTTTTCTTAATATTAAATATTAAATTTTATGCATTTAGTCTTTAAAAAATTATTTTCTTGAATTTCTTATTGTTTGTTTGTTGATTGTTCTTCAATTTGTAATTATTACAAATAAGAAGCATTAAGTGAATAAATATCTACTTAATGTTGCTTCAAGAAATAAGGAAGAATTTCCAAAACGGAAAAAAAACAACTTCATAAATAGAAAAAATAAACTATATCTTAAAAGCTTGGTTACATCAAAACAGGGGCTAAAGATGCACAGGAAAAAAAACTTAAGATAAATTTTGAAAATTAAAGATATATATTAAAACGGAAGAAAAAAATTGCAAAAATAAAAAGAAATCAGCGAGATCTGCAATATCGTTCGTCAGTCCCATCGTAGAAAAGCACAAAGATAGATAAACATTAAAACAGTGGGTTGTAAACTGAGATTAGATAAAATTGAGGTCACATCTAAAAAGAGAACCCGGATGAATGAAAATGTAAACAGTAGTTTCTGTACGGAGAGAAAAGGAATTTCAATGTCATCGGGATTGGCATATTCTAAACGTTTACTATTGATAATAACTAAATTTAATGTTATTTTTGTTATTTTTGTTAATTTTTTAGCACCATTAGGCATTGTCTTTTCTTTTGAATTTTAATGATTCTTTCTTTTTTTTTAATTTGCTTGCATTTTTTAAACAGCTTAAATATACCGATAATTGTGATAGTTCATATAAAATTATTACTATGTCCACAGGGAAAAAAGAATCCAACGCCCCCTCCCCCATTCACGTCTATTTCTGATGACACATATTCCATTTTTGTGATAATAAATGACAATTTATTATAAAATGAAAAAAAGTGAAAATAGTGGGTGATAATTTTGCTATTAACATCATCTTATACAATAAATAAGCAATAAATCAGTATTATTTAGATTAATCTTTTCTTAATAAAGGAGAATCGACATAGATATGTAATTCTAAATTAAGGATTTCCGATATCGGGATATTATTCTAAATTATTGATACTCGGTATAGAGGTTTAATTTTGATATGAAGAGACTCGGTGTAGATATGTGATTCCCAATTAAGATAACTGGGTGTAGAGATGTAATTCAGAATTAAAGAGACTCGGTAAAGATATGTGATTCTGATCTATGAGAACGCGGTGTAGATATATAGGATGGTTTTTAACAATAATATTAAGTTCCATCAATAAAGATTAAATCATTCTGACTTGGTTTTTTTTAATAAGAATATTTTATATACAATAAATATATAAATAGAACCATTTATTTTAACAAACGAACGTTTTTGACAACCATCGTACATGTCACATATATTTTGTATTTAAATTGTTTTGACTTCTATGGCATTCGAAACATCCGAACTCGGAAAGGGGGTCAAAAGGGTAAAAAAAATTTCTCTCCCTCTCTCTCTCAACCCCTCCTCTTTCTCTCTCTCTCCCTCTCTCTCTCAATCGCCCTCCTTTTCCTCCCCTGTCTTTCCCTCTCTCTCTTTCTCTGTAGCCTCCTCCTCCTCTCTATCTATTTCATCTCCCTCTTTCTCTCACTCTCCAAGAAGTCTGTTTTTGATCGTTTCATCAGCAACAGAGAACTCTTTGTTATTGTCTATTCCTTCATTAAGCACATCATTGATGTTTTTATATAAAGAATTAATATTAAAACGACCTTTAATATCTTTAGTTCTGATGTGCTATTTAAGAAACAGGCGTTTAACCCCACCCCACCCCCCACCCCCAAAAAAATATTAAAATAAAAATGATGAGATATAAGCGTATACAAAATTATTCTCTTACTTGTGTTAACAAAGTATACTTTTTTAATTATATTATAAAATTATGTTGTACGAAAGTTGGAATTCCCAAAATAAGAGTGATATATCATCCTGGTTCCAAATGATGAATGTTTCATAGAAGACGTTATTGTGAGACGGAAAAACTAGAAAGAAAACAAAACAAAAATTAGGAGAATAATGTTTTGTTGTTTTTTTTTTTGGACATTTTATATTTGATTTTATGCATTTAACCCCCAGTATATTTCTCTTATTTTTTGGTACGTTATGACTTAACTTTAATTTTTAATTATTATGAATAAGTACCAGTTAGTAAATTGATATTAAAAAGTTATTGTTTTTTAAGAATAAGGAAGAATCTCCAAAGCGGAAAAAAACAACTACATAAATAGGGGAAAAAAACTACATCTTAAAGGATTGGTTACTTCAAAATAGGGTTAAAGATGTACAGGAAAAACGTATGATAATTGAAATTAAACGGAAGAGAAAATTAATCAATACAAAAAACCCCGACTTTTCTTTCATTTTCTAGGTCAGTTGTATCGTAAAAGAGAAAAAAGATATATAAAAATGAAAACAGTCGATTGTAGACTGAGATAAGGAAAAAAGAATTTAACTGTCATCGAGACTGACATATTTTAAGTTTACTGTCGATTATTCCTAATTCTAACACATTTTTTATTAATTTAATAAAAAAACAGCATGCATCATTTGTTCATTTTATTATTATCATTATATTACATTAGCTTCCATTTTTGTGACGGCCTAACCTAGACTTTTCACATAAAATGATTCATATGTCCACCAAATATTAGCGAAAAAATAAAAATGATGAGATATATGTGCGTATGAAAAAGTTTGTTATTGGTGTAACAAGGCAAAATATTATAAAATTCATCATTTAAATGATGTACTAAAGTTGGATTTCCCAAGATTATAGTGACAGCAATTCCTGATTCCAAATGATGACCGCATCAGTAATGTTCTTATTGGGAGAAAAAAATATCACAAAAAGGGTTAGTATGTTCAGAGTAATTCATACAATATGCATCGATCGGGTAACATACTACTTCAGAAGATTTTTTATTACAAAAGAAAAAGAAAAAAAATAAAAATTTATCAAAATGATTATCACATTTTACATAGGCTATGTGAAATTGTGTACATTCTGACCTCTTGGGTCAAACTGCTAAATTTACTCCAGATACATTAGAAGTGTAACGGTCAGAGGTGTCAATTTTAACTTTTGTTGTTTTTTTTTTTCATAATGGTAATACAGGTTTTAAGTTACAAATTATTTCATTTTCTTGTGTCATATGGAAAAGTTATTATTTGTGTGATATCAAGTAGACTTTTTTCGTGTAAATAAGGCCCGCCCCCTTATTTCATCCTTAAAATGCTGTGTTTGAAAACTTCATATGGAAATAATTCTGAATACTAATGTTGTCCTGATAACAGAACATACATATCTTCTTTGTTAGAGTCACATCATGCATATACAATGATTTTCATTAAAGTAATTTTTAATCTGAGTAAAAGCCTCTGTATGTCCATATTGATAATAATTTCTCAGATGCCCAGTTCTGTACTTAGGCGAAAGAGGCTCGAATATTTCTTTTTGTTCAAATTCAAATGAAAATCAAGAACATATACTAACTGCATGAGAAAGATACATAAACAAAACAAATAATTCTTTTTCCGGGAAAAATTAGTTGCGATTTTGTTATTATTTT